TTTATGATGGCGAATTCTTTTCATTTCCATACAAACTTTAGAATCAACATGTCCATTTCTAACAAAATAGCCTGCTTAGATTTTAATAGGATTTATGTTTACTTTTAGATTAATTTATAGACAATTCCTGTCTTAAAAATACCATATGATTTCACTTATATGTCTAAAGAAAAAGTAAATAGAAACAGACTCATAGATACAGAGAACAGACTGTGTTATCAGAAGGAAGGGTGTTGGGGGACAGCGTGAAAAGGGTGGGGAGATTAAGAAGTACAAATTGGTAGCTACAGAATTGTAACAGAGATGTAAATTACAGCATGGGGAATATAGTCAACGATATTATTATAACTATGAAAGATCAGGGGACCACTCTGTAGAGTGTGTGATTTTGATTTTCTAACCACTATGCTATACATCTGAATCTAATGCAGAATAATATTGAATGTAAACTGTAATTAAAAATAAATAAAATTTTTGAATTTTATAATCAATTAACATAGAATGTTTTACCATATATTTATATATGCTTTAATGTAGTTCAGCAATATTTTTCTAAATTTCAATACACATGACTGTCTTATACCTTTTTGATAAACATATTCCTGAGTATTTTATTCTTATTCATGTTATTGTTAATGGAATTACATCCTTCATTTCATTTTCAGATTGTTCATTGTTAGTATGTAGAAATATAGTTAATTTTTAATCTTAGATTCCAAAACCTTGCTGAATTTGTTTATTAGTTCTAGTAATTTTTCTGTAGATTCTTTAGGATTTTCTACATTCATATCATCTGCAAATAAAGAAGATATTACTTATTTCTTTCTAATGAGATAAATTCTTTTCCTTTTATCTTTCTTCTTTTCCTTTTTATTCCCCTACCTTCCTACTCCATTGGCTAGAATCTTCTATATAATGTTTACTAGAAGTCGTGAAAGTGGAAATCCTTGCCTTGCTCCTGCACTTAGGATGAAAGTATTTGGTCCTTTTTGCCTTTAAGTATGGTATTAGTTGTAGGAATTTTGTAGATGCCCTTTATTTGCCTGAGGGAGTTCCCTCTATTTCTAGTTTGTTGAGAGTTTTCCTATGAAAGGATATTCGATTTATCAAAAACTTTTTTCTGCATCTACTGTGATGATGCAGTGATTGCCTTTTATTCTACTGATATGATATATTACATTATTTTTGAAGGCTACAGAAACCTTGCATCCATAGGACAAACTCCACTTGGTTATGGTATGCGATCAGTTTTTGTTACCAAATTTGGTTTTCTAATATTTTATTAAGAATTTTTCCATCTATATTCATGATGGGGATTAGTCTCTTGTAGTGTCTTTGTCGAGCTTTGGTATTAGTATAATACTGGCCTCAATTTTCTGGAAAAAGTTTGTGAAGGATTGATATTATTTCTTCTTCAAATATTTGATGGATACCTGGGCTTTTTGTAGAGGGGGAGGAGATTTAATACCTTTACTTATTTTAGATCTATCCAGAATTTCTGTTTTTTAAAAAATTAATTTTAATAATTTGTGTCTTCCTAGAAATTTGTCCATTTCATATAAGTTGCCAATCCTGTTGGTGTACAGTTGTTCATAGTATTACCTTATAATAATTTAAATTTCTGTTATGTTGGTATTGATGTTCATCTCCTCTTTTATTCTTGATTTTGGTAATGTGTGTCCTCCCACTTTTTTTCTTAGCTAGTTTAGCTTAGTGGTTTGCATCTGGGGGTAATTTTTGTCCTTGATGGGATATTTGGTGATATCCAGAGATATTTTTGGTTGTCACACTCAGAGAGTGCTAGCTGGCATCTAGTGGTAAAAAAACAGGGATCTTTCCAAACATCCTACAATGCACAGAACAGTCCCCCCAACAAAGAATTATGCAGCCAAAAATGTAAGTACTGCCTGGACAGAGTGCCTCAGTTATTTGAGCACTGTCCTGTGTACCGAGAGGTTGTCTGTTCGATTCCCTGTCAGGGCAAATACCTGGGTTGAGAGTTCGGTTCCCAATAAGGGCACATGCGAAGGCAACCCATTGATGTTTCTCTCTCACAGCAATCTCTCTCTCTCTCTCTCTCTCTCTCTCTCTCTCTCTCTCTCCCCCCTTTCCTCTCTCTAAGGGGTCATTGGGTGAGGATTTTTTAAAAAATGTCAATATTGCTGAGGTTGAGAAACCATGGCTAAATGTTTTTCAATTTTGTGGATCTCAAAGATCCAACATTTTCCTTCATATATTGTAGCAATTCTGGATTCTGATTACTTTTAGCACTGAGGGTTGCTATTATGTGCCTCACATTGTTTGCTTTTTTGCTTAGTAACCTGGATGGACCAATCTATGGAATCCGTTTCTTGCTCTGTGTGTAGATGCCAATCTCTCTTCAGTTTTTAAAATTCTTGTTTGTATTTTAGCCCAACTTTCTATAGATCACCCCCATATGTGCATAGTTTAGTGATCGGTCAATAATTCTTTAGAGGTTGTGCTCAAACACCTCAAACCAGTGAGTCCCCAACCCTCTTTCAATTGTGAAATCTCTGTATTTTTTCTAGAGAAGCAGTTTTCAAGTCTCCTCCAGGTCTTACTTCCCAGTGAGTTTTCTCATGTCTTATTTGTGCACATGCTCGGGATCATGGTCAGCCAGGCATGATTCAACTTGAGGACCTTGTCAAGGCTGTGTTTGGCTGTCTCATTGATTGTATTTCCTGTTAAATCCTTTCTGGGTGATTTGTGGACCTATTGATTGTCCCAATCAGGAGCATAAACTCGGATTTGCTGAGTTGTTGGTCTTCTCTAATTATCCTACTAATTCCAGTAGCGTTTCTTACTAAATCACATAGGATTTTTTTTTTTTTTTTGTATTCAAGTATATTGTTAGAAAAAAATATACAATTTCATATCTTATTTATTATTTATAAAGATCACTTCATTTTCTTCTGTGATTGCAATTAACAGAAACTTCAAAACAATGTTGATTAATATGTAATAGTGGGAATATGTTTTGTTCTTTATTTTAATGGAAATGGCAATATCATTTCAACATTTAAAATTATATATACTATGGGTTTTTTGACATGTAGTATTTTTTATTTACACTTTTATTGTTGAAAGTACTACAGATGTTCTCCCTTTTTTCCCCCATTGATCCTCCCCCTCCTCCCAGCTTCCACCCTCCTCCTGCTTTCCCCAAACTAATGTCTGTGTCCATTGGTCATGCATATATGCATATAAGTTATTTGGTTTATTTCTTCCCTCCTCCCCAAACCCATCCCTTTGAGGTTTGTCAGTCTGTTCCCTACTTCTATGACTCTGGATCTATTTTGGTCAACAGCTTATTTTTGTTCATGATATTCCATAAATAAGTGAGATTGTGTGGTACTTGTCTTTCTCTGACTGACTTATTTTGCTCAGTACAATATTATCCAGGTCCTTTCATGTCATCTCAAAGGGTAAGAGATCTTTCTTTCTTATAGCTGCATATTATTTTGTTTGCAGATCTTAGCTATTGTGAATAGTGCTGCTATGAACATAGGGGTGCATATATTCTTTCTGATTGGTGTTTCAGGCTTCTTAGGGTATATTCCTAGAAGTGGGATCACTGGGTCAAATGGCAGTTGCATTTTTAATTTTTTGAGGAAGCACCATATTGTTTGCCATAGTGTGGCTGCACCATTATATTTTAAAATTTTTCACCTGAGGATATGTTTATTGATTTGAGAGAGAGAGAGAGAGAGAGAGAGAGAGAGAGAGAGAGAAATTGATGTGAGAGAGAACCATCAATTGATTACCTCCTGTATGTGCCCTGATAAAAAATCAAACCTGTAAACTTGGGGTGTTTGGGGTGATGCTCCAATCAACTGAGACATCCAGCCAGGACTAAAGTCAAATTGTAATTGTTTATATTTGTATTTTATTAGTTATAACTGTAAAATTTTGTCAATAGTTTTTAGTAGCTAGTAAAATAGCTTTGTATTTTTCTTTTAATATCTTGAAATATTAATTATGTAGTAGTATTCTTGTATAGATTAATGTTTCCATTCATACTTAGTATAAAACTTACCCTTATTGCTATATTTTTATTCACTCTATTTTACTTAACATTATATTTCAAGTTTTGTATATTCATAAATTAGTTTAACTTGTAGTTTTTTAACTATTTTTAAAATCAAGTTTGAGTATGAAGTTTATAATAGTTTAAAATGATCAATTTGAAGATTTTCAGAATTTTTTAAGATAGAAAACAATTTAATACTATAGGAGATAGCTGTTTTTCAAAGGTCAAATAAAAGTAACCTTTGAAACTATTTGATCTCCTCATCCATCCCCCCTTTTTTTGATGATCGATTTTAAAATACTTCCCCTGTTTATACTATAGTAAATAACATTGGATTGTTAGAACTCTACGTTTCTTGGCTTGCTTTGGAAAAACTACCTTAATGTCATTTAATATTTGTATCATATCTTTCTTCCATGGAGCTCAAATTGCATTATAGCAATTATAGACCACAGAATATCAGAATATTAGAAATAGAAGGAACCTTACCAAAATCTAATTCATCCTTCTCATTTTATAAATGAGTTCACTTATACATTAATTTTCCAATAATTTAGCCTCAATTAAGAAGGTAGTTTATTGAGGGTAACTTGAGATGTAGAAATGTTCATATAAAATACATAGTCAGATTAAATCAGGTAATATTTCATTTAGGAAATGTTGATATTTCCCATTTCCCAGGTTTAAGTAACATGCTTTTAGACAGGAATTGAAATCCCCAACAGGTGTTTCTTAGGGATAATCTTTACAGATTAACCTGATTACCTCGTACCTTTTCTAAATCATTCCTCAGTTATTTTTCTATGTTGAGTGTGAAGACCAATAGGAAGAGATCATCATACATCCTCACTTTACCCTCAACTCATCTTCACATAAAAGTGGACAGGTTTGGAATAAGATCATGCCTTTTCTTCATGATCATTAAGACTCTCTTCAGCATCCAACTTACCAAGTCTTTGTCTAAAGCCCCAGGGACAGACTTGCTCCTTAAATTTACAGTATCTTCTAAATCTTCTGCAAATGACCCACTCAAATCTAACTCAGATTGACTCCGATCTGGAGGAAGGAAGAGAAAAGGAAAAATATGAATCAGCTTATTTTTTAGAAGGTTTAATTATAAATCTTTCATCTTTATTTCAATTCTTTCTATGCATGGGGCATAGATAGTGTTATAAATGCAACAGTCAGTAACTTTATGCTATTTATGCTAACATATTTCCATTTTAATAGCATTTTTAAATTCCCTTGGGCTGAATTACCAACACTGATATGTTCATTTCTCATTTGACTATAGGAGACTAAATACTCTATTATAAAATGTTAATTTTAAGGTGTTTAAGTTTTCGGTTTTGCTCATAGATTTTGAAAAATTCTCTTAGAATGGACCCTTAAGGTTAGAAAAACAAAACATTAACCACTCTTGATTTTAAAATTTAGAGAATTCACAGAAAAGGGAGTGGCTATAGGTAAATTGGGAGAAAGTTCTATTTCTTTAGGCACCAGAACATTCTTTCATCAGAAGAACGACTTGTTTTTGAAAATATAAGTCAAAGAAAAAATACACTAGTCAGTAATGTCGTGGACAGCTTACCAAGACACAGTTTATTTCCACAGAACAGTTCTCTGTCAAAGCCCTGCTGATATAGATATAGTTGCTTATAGATGAGAAGATTTAAGAGAGCAATCAAGTATAAATAAGTTTGAAATGGTAAATGATATAATACAGAAGTATTTCACATAGTGCCTGACACAGAGTATGTACTCAATAAACAGGAGGTGGTCAGTATAAGTAGTAGAAATATACCCTAAGAAGTTGGCTTCTTGGCTAGTTTAAAAGTTTTCATTTAATAGATGAATTGATTTTCTAGTCCTAAACAAACTACAACAATAACCACACTCATTTAGAGAACCCTTTGGGAGCTACCTGACTAGGAGAGACTCCCTGATTCATCATATAGAATCCAGATTTAGGCTTTATGCAAATGTCATCATTGGGTAACAAGCAACAATTACGTGTTGAGGATTTTGTCATGATTCTACACATGGGACACAAACTTCAGAATTATACCAATTTATCTGAAGAGTTTCCTTATTTTTAGGTAATAAAATTTCAACATAATGCCTGCTTCATAGTATTATTGTGATGATGAAGTGAAACTATATATTTGAATGTGCCACACAAACAAAAGGGGTTATTATTAATACTTTAATACTGCTTTCAAATACTTCTTTATTTAAACAATGAAATAATTAATTTGTCTAGATATTGAACATTGCTGACCACCAAATCAAGAAGGATTACCATTGCAATTTGTTAGAAATTAAAATTTAAGTTAAACATGCATGTTAAAATATCTAAGATAATCATTAAAAGGTAGAAATAGTGTATATACTAAACTAGAAGAATAAAAAAATGGAATGGGGTGGGAAGACATCAATCTAGAAGGCAGTAGAGAAAAAACGAATACAACCTAGAACAAAAATGAGGTGAATGGAAGATATAAAGTAAGGTGGTAGAATTAAATCCAAATCTATAGGCAATTAACATAAATGACAATTGATAAAACTCAGATAAAGTTTATGGTACATAAATTATATTTAAATAAAGCTATTAATTTTAAAAATGATTATTTCCTTGAACTCTGGGCAAATGTCCTTTGTCTTTCATATCAAATGAGCCAATTATATTTCTTACACTTTTATACTGACATTTGGTATAGCTCTGAAACTTGTCAGTGATGCCTAGCAAATGTACACTTAAGAAATTGATTTTGCATAAATGTCAGAGGCTTAAGACATCACCTGGAACAACGTTTAAGCAGTTCTTATGGAGTGGGCCTACTACCGTGGGTCAATCAGAATGGACAATTTTTTTCTAAGGCATGCAACATCCACTTAATACCATACAAGAAAGTCAGCTCCACCTGATTTAGTCGTTTTTTGTTTTTTTTTTTCAACGAAGTAGTCATATTGTAAATACCCACCTGAGGAGAGGGAGGCCTGGGACACTGCTATCGAAGGTGTACCAGAAGTGTTTCTGCGATGATTCTTTGTGAAGTCCTCAGAGGTGCCTTCAATGACAGCCGAATCCATCGAATTTTCAAAACCATGCTCCTTCTCACAAAGTAAAAAAAAAAAAAAATATATATATATATATATATATATACACACACACACACACACACACACACACACATCCCTACATTATACTGACAGTAATTTACTTTAAAATCTTTCCATAGACATATACTTCCGTATAACCACATTTAAGTGTGTATTCTTTAAGAGAGAGTTGATATTTGGAGGACCCTCATCAGAGTCCATATAACTCTAAAACTTACTATCAATAATTACTCTCTAAAATCTATACCAAGAGGTTTGTTAATTAGCATGAAAGTCATTGGAAATCATTTTTCATTCACAAAATTAGGGAGCATTCTACTATATGGTTAGCAAGAAAGATGATGCAGGTACCTCCAACTTCCATGAACTACGTATAAGAATCTGGCAAGCTTCATACACTCAGAGCAGTACCCTCAGAGTAAGCTTAGAACTCTGGTCCTATGCTTGTACCTCTTTCAACACTCTCTCTTCAACCACCCCTTACCTCCCCCACAGGCATTTAACAGAAGATAGTGCCACTTTTTTCATTTAGCAGGCTGGATGATCAGAACATGGCTGGTTACATTGTTATTGAAATGAAACTTTCATAAAAGGTACTTATCAAAGTTCATAAAAGAATGGGGGCCTTCCCAATTTATAGGAATAGGTGATTTTTGGGTGCCTACTTACTAATAAATGCTTGTATATGTGGCAGAATTCAGTCTGAGGAGTTGCTTTCATTGTAACATATAGTAAAGGAAAACTCTGTCCCAAATTTTCTTGGGCCCTCCGGGGCTTGGCTATTGTATCACTCCAACTTTGCTTAAGCATCGAGAAACTAATTTTGAACTTTTTAGAAACTAGGTTGGTTTAAATGTCCATGGAAATGATACCATGCTGTGATAATGATAAAATCTAAAGAACAAATTTAATTACTCTTTCCATAAACAATCAAAAATGCTTTTAAAACTCTTATAAGAAGGAATTCCCTTCTTGTTGCCCTATATTTAGCCCATACCTTAGTCACTGAAGGAAACTTTGATGAACTCACTCCAGAGATGTGGCTCTCACTTGCTTAGCTTACTAATCAGTGCACCTTCAATATAAACTGTTTTTGGTCTTTAACATTTTTTAATACTTACTCCCTGTAGCAGGAAAAATATAGCTCCTAATTAATTGTCATAGACCACTGAGGTTTATCATAAGACTGTCAGAGGTCAAACAGATGAATTAGTTTAGGTTAGTTTTCGACACCTCTTCAAAACATTGTTCACACATACAGTCCTCCAAGAAGCAAGACCAACTTCCTTAGTGGCAATGATGTTGACAGGAAATATTCCAGTTGGCACTCTGAGAGTATCATTACTAATGAACACTAATTTGCCAATTAATATTATATAGTCATTAACATGCAATATATACCCTGGAGATTCAGGATGTGAAACCTAAAATTAACAAGTTACATTATAGCAGAGGACAGGTAGAGACTTTGATATTCTAAGAGTTCTCCATTTAAAAAACTTTTCTTGCATGCTAAAGCAAAAAAACAAAAACAAAACAAAAACATTAAAACAAAGAGATGCTGCGAAATGGGACAAATTGAGAAGTTGTTACCTTGATTGTCATCTCACTTTGTATACTGCTTCCCTTCATCCCTTCATTGTGAAAGAGCAAATGTACTTCTTCTTTTTTTTTTTTTGGTACGTGCCCCTAGCGGGAACCAAACCCAGGACTCTCTGGTCTGCAGGCTGATGCTCCAACCGCTGAGCCAAACTGGCCAGGGCGCAAATGTACTTCTTAAAGTACTGTTCTGTCTTATGTTTATTTAACAAAAAATATTTCTCTTTGCCTCACATTAAAAAAACTAGCTAGATCAGCTAGAATGCAAGAGTTAGATCAACACAGGCAACTGCCTAAATATATGTACATATATTCAATCCAGTTCCAGGGAATTTCTATTGGGAAAATCTATATGTTGTTTAAAAAAAAGTGTTCATGTAGAGGCTGTTAGTTTTGAGGGCATTAGCCCATGACAAGGGTGACTTTTCCCCCCTCAAAAATGGTACAAAGGAAGATAATCCTTTTTTGAGAACAAATATGACTAACTTACTGGTTATTGAACTGAAAGTCTCCTGCTGCCTACTGATTCAGCTGTCCAGCTGTTAAAAGTTTAAAAAGACTTCTGTCTCAGTTGTAAACAGCACTACTCCCAGTCTACCCCCTCCTCTGTGCTCCTTCTCCTCCACAACCTTAGTTTTCCCCATAATCCAAGTAATGTATGGAGTATAAGGGCCCCCAAGATACTGCCCCAGACTTGTGCCAGTGTCTGCTCTGGTTATTCAGTTTCCCTGCCATACCAGTTGCTAAATATTTTGAGCATCATTCCTTGTTAGGTGGCGAAAGAAATGAGTGTAATTATCAACTATCCATATATTTTTCTGGCTATTGAATAGTACTGCTTGTTGACCTTAATATAAATATTTAAGAAGTATTAAATATGCTTTTTATCTTATTAGCAAGTACAATTTAGACTACACATGTTTAAATATATCTATAATTATTATTTAATTTGTCTGAATGCCTTTTGGCTCTTCCTTAAAAAAATCTGTAGAATTTGATTGCTCACAACCTCCACTTCTATCTTCTGTTCTGAAACCCAGTCTCTGCCATAGCCTCCTGGCTTATACTCTTGTTCCCCTATACAGCTCCCAGATCCTGTGTAAACAGAAACCAGATCATGTCACTCCTCTACTCAAACCCTCCAACTACCCCCATCTTACCCAGAGTAAATGCCAAAGTACATACTGTGATCTACAAGGTCCCATATGGCCCTATTACCACTTTGAACTCATTTCCTAGTACTCTTCTCTTTATTCATTAACAATAGCCATACAGCCTGTCTTGTTCTTCCTTGAACATACCAGGCATGCTCACACCCCAGAATCGTTGCACTGGTTGTTCTTCCAACGGCATTAAAAATACTTTAGATAGCCCAGCCGGTGTGGTTCAGTGGTTGAGCGTCGACCCATGCATCAAGAGGTCACCAGTTCAATTTCTGGTCAGGGCACATGCCTAGGTTGTGGGCCCAATCCCCAGTAGGGGGCATGCAGGAGGTGGCCATTTGATGTTCTCTCTCATCAATGTTTCTCTGTCTTTCCCCCTTTCTGTAAAATCAAAATAAAGTAAAAAATATTTAAAAAAATACTGTAGATACTGATTGAGCAAAGACACTGATTTTTCAAGGAGGCTGACTATAAGTAATTGGAATAGCCATTTGTTAATGTACCTGCTGAATATCAGTGGTATTCCCGCCTGGAGGAATTATTTGCCTCAGACTCCTGCATGGTTAATTCCTTCACTTTCTTCAAGTCCTTTGGTGACCAGGACTCACATATAGCAGGCCCTCATTAAACATTGGCTGACTCAAAAAACTATAGTTTGTGTATATATATATGGTTTCCTGCTTAATCAAAAAATCTGGTAGATGTTCATTCATTCAAAAGAACAACTTTTGTATTATATATTATATATTATGTATCGTATATTATATATTATATACACATATATTATACAATTTAAGTCTTCATTATGCATTAACCCCTTATTTTAACAGATGTATAGAAAATAAAGGTAGAAAAGTATTTCAAGATTCTACTTTTCCTGATTTTAATCAGTTTGGAAAAATTTTAGTGCAGTCAACATCTTGAGAAGTAGCACGGAGGATCAAAATCAAAGACTTCTAAAATTTATTTATATTTTGTTTAAACCATATAGCCATTTAAAACTCCATCATATATATTCCACCTTTGAATCTGTTTCTTCCTTTTCCTTCTTGCTGTAGGCCTCCTGCAGGGAGCTAAGGATGCAAGAGGTTCAGTCCTGATAAAGAAGATTCATTATAAACAACATACACTGAGATAGAGAGCTGAAACTCAGTCATGGTGGTGAAGTCGAATCTCAGAAGCCTGATGTCCCTTCATAGTTGTGTACTTACTCTACTGCTGACTGAGGCCATGCTGTGTATGCTTGGGGCTGGTGACCTCTGAGTGACTGGGGTCATACCACTGCTGTGGCTGCTCTTCGGGGTCCCAGGACCAACTTCCTGGTCATTAAGATCTGATGAACCAGTGCTTCCTCTAAATGAGAAAGAATATTCTGAATTAACATGGAAACAGAGCAGCAATCAAAGACAATATCAGTTAAAAGCTTACCAAAGAATAATGATGACATGTGAACCACATGAAATACACCAGAGCCACACTGGAACTGGTCATAAACTATCATAGCACCCCCTTCCTCAAAGACCTTCAGGGGCTCACTTAGGTTCAACCCTATTTGTCTGACTTTAGAGTCTTTATCATTGGGCTCCACCCTACCATTCCAACTATATTTCCCACTATTCACCAGCATTCTCTCAGCTAGTCCAGGTACCTTACTATCTTGTCAACTCACTATGCTCATGGTTACGCTTCTAATTCTACGGCTTTTGCTCATGTTCTCCCCACCTGAAATGCCCTATTTATCACTCCCTGTTCATACAAATCTTGCCTATCTTTCTTTCTTTCTTTCTTTCTTTCTTTTTTTTTGTATGTGCCCTTAGCGGGAACCGAACCCAGGACTCTCTGGTCCTCAGGCCAATGCTCCAACCATTGAGCCAAACTGGCCAGGGCAAATCTTGCTAATCTTTCAAGGCTCATGTGAAGTCCAGCCTCCCTCACCAGACCTTTCCTGTCAATCACAGGCCTTGTAAACCTCTGCTCTACTCAATTCCTATTGACTTACAGTCTTTGCTGAACTATGTAGCACTTGACTACACAATGCCTAGTATGGCCCCCTAATTGATCCACATATGTGGGCCTGGGTGCCTCTTTCAACTGTGAACTCCTTGTGGAAAGAGTTAATGATGTATTTATCATAATATCTCCAGCACCTTCATAGTGCCTTGTTGCAAAGGAGGCACCTAGTACATATTTAATCAAAGATTGAAAATTATATTTTATTTCTGTGTTTAGTGACTGACTCATGGTGCACATTTAATAAATGTGGTATGAAATAATGACATTTGGTAAATGGGCTTGACTCACTTTCATGTTTGCTAAAAGTGATGCAATTCCATGCAATAATAATAAATGAAAAAATAGTTCCTGCCCTTAAGGCAATCAAAAAATTTCTCATTAAATAGAGATTCATAAGTAAATATAAGTTTTCACAAATTAGAGTTGAAGAGAGTGTTTGTTCTTATTTTATTCTTTACCGTCAGTGAGTACAAAATATGCTGTGGTAAAATATAAGCTCTTATGTATTTCACTCTTTCAGTTACTATTTTAACAATTTATAAGTGCACCTATAATAATGAATATCTTATTGTAAAAGCACAGCAGTGATAGTGATTAGGGCTTACATTTGAGCCAATCAGAAGAGAGACAGAAATGAAGGAAAGCTGTTTTTTTTTTTTTTAAATGTCTGACTTCATGTGTTATTACTGGAAGATAAATCTGGCAGAAGAAAGAATCAGCAGTAACCATCAGAGCTGTCAATCACAGATCATAAATTTTTTCAAGGCTATGCACCAGAGAAGCTACCAAAATCAAATATGTCCTGACTAATACTACCAGCCACCACCACCCTTGATAATTATGCAAATAGTGGCTGTATTTACTAAGTATTTTCTAAGGTTAGATACTTTCCATTCACCAACATCTCTGTTTTAATAAGGTGTTAATGTTCCTCTTTTAAAGATGAAGAAACTAAGTCTTAGAGAGACTAAACAATTATTCCATGTGTGTACACACACATGTGCACACACACACACACACACACACACACACAAACACCACACCACCACCACACTGTCCAACAGTTAATACATGACAAAGTCAGAATTAAAACAGAATATTCTGTCTACCTAAAGCCTGTGTTCTTCAATTTTCTCATACTGTTTGCTCATCATTTCATCAAGATCAACTTGTTATAAGCAATTAGGCTCTACACTGACAGAGTAAGCTATCAAGAAGAAGATAATAAAAAAATCAGAGAGCTGGGAATTTGATTAAATGAACTATGAAAATTCTCTGGTGGAATTCCTTTGATATTACATAAAAACAGTCTCGGCTTTGTCTTTCTAGAGATGGCACTCTGAATAAATTATAGTACTATGGACTCTCCTCAGGAGGGGTCGAAGACTGTGACTTTTGATTCAGACAACAAGAAAATAAAATTTTATGATTAAACAGATTAAATTAGTTCTAAGTTCCTTGGTGATTTTCCTGAGTCCTCCAATCACAGGTACTACGTTTATGCATTTGACAACAGTTAACCATATTTGTACCATTTCAGTTAATTCTGCTCATCTCAGAAGTCCCATTTAGAAGGGACTTAAAGACCTACCTAGTAATGCTGTGCTGTGACTATAGGTCTCTACTCTCAAAACAATATTACCTCAAAAAATCTCTCGGCCTACTATTTTAGGTAAAATCTCCCTTGGGAAAAACAAAAAAGGCTAGGAGTGGATCTTGCAGAAATGAGCCAAGAAGTTATGATCCAAAGGGATGTGTGTGGATATTTACACTTTTGTCTGTGCTGAATATTCTCCCTAATCCAAGCTGGTTTGAAAAAGTCCCCATTATAGATTAGCCTTACTAGAATCAAAAGATTACTTATGTAGAAGCTCTGGAAGAAGTTGATTAATTGTGATAATGACATTCAAAAGGCTATCCTCTAATAAGGAAAAAAAAATCTTGTGATTGCTAAGTCAGCTACTGGAAACTATTGTTACCAGAAGCATGATCTCAAAAATAACATATACTTTCACATTTGCTCCTGACATTTACTCTGAGGTCTTCAAAATTATTTTCCTCTGAGTTGGCTGTTTCAGTTGATTAAACTAAAAAATATTTTATGTATTAGGAAAGAATATCATAAATATTTGGGTGGCAACTCTTTTGGATGTTATGTAAAATATTACATAAAATACGCAATTCTTCTCCACTTAAATAGGAAAAGGGTAAAAGTTTCATCAAGTCTAAATTAGAGAAGTTTACAGTTCAATGAGCTTTTGGTGATTCAGATATCATGTTATTGATATTTAAATTAGAAATATTAGAAATTTGTGCCAACAAAAATTGAAGTTAAATTTTGCTTAAGAAATAACTAGCATGAAAGGTGCATTTATTTTGTTCTAATAGGGCCCAAACTGTGGGGATATGACATTGTCTTGGGAGCTTAGATATTCTGGGTTATTTGAAAGACACACTTCCGAGAGTAGGAAAAAGTCTCATTTAATTTAGCTTAAAAAGTCTCATTTAATTTAATTTAACATATTTAATATACGTCAAAAGAATTTAGTTTTATCTCTAATTTCATGCTGGTTTAAAACCTCAATAATGGCTTCCTCAATATATCCATTTTTAGAAAAAGGATCCAAGGATAGGGGACAGAGACTATAATTTAATGAATTGCCTTATAGTTTACATAAATATTTCCCAGGAGTTATAGTCTAGAAAGAACATTCCAGGAACCAACCTCCCCAGAATGGACTAATAATGTTGAACCTGTGCCTGAATAGTTAATGGGTGCTCCCCTAATAAAGATCAGAAAAAGGCAGCATTAACCTGAGAGATACTAATACTCATTGGGACAATGAGGCTAGTGTGTAGCATAACAGAGATTGCATGATATTCTTCCTGTGGTTTATGAGCTATCTTAACTTCTTTAATTATTTCAGATCTGAAATGAATATGTAAGAAAGATGAACAATGGAGGTTGTAGTTAGAAAGTGAGGCAAGCCTACAAAATGAGAAAAAGATGTTAAAAATGATAAAGAAATGGGGAAAAAAAGTTTAACATAGCTCAACCTTCCACTCATTGGTGATCCCAAAATGCTATGTCTTTGTCACCCTTGGCTGCATATCAGAAACAAAGGGAGAGATTTTAAAAATGTTCATGTTATATCTGAGACTAATCACACAAGTATGGGTTTCTAAATTTAAAAGAAACATACTCTTGCCCTGGCCAGTTAGGCTCAGCAGTTAGAGAGAGAAGGGTCAGCCTGCAGAGAGAATGGTCATAGGTTTGATTTCTGGTCAAGGGCATGTGCCTCAGTTGCAGGTTTGATCCCTGGCCCTGGTGGGGGTTATGCAGGAGACAACCAATTGATGTTTCTCTCTCTCTCCATATCCCCCTTCCACTCTATCTAAAAACCAATGAAAAATGTCGTCAGGTGAGGATTAACAAGAATAAATAAATAAATACATAAATAAACAAATAAAAAAAAAACTCTTTGGAAAGGTCAACACATCCCAAAACATTTTCAGGTATTGGGTACATGAGAATATATGTGTGTGTATGTATATATGTATGTATATACTTAGGCACAGGTGAACTATTATAGGAGTTCTTGAATGCAGAATTAAGGAAGTAGAGAAATGAGAAAGAAGCAGAAATTCATCTGGCAGCTCCAGCTACAGTTTCCTCTGAAGCCACTGGATTTCTGTGGCTTAATTACATGTATGTTTCCTTCCTTTTCCCTTTTGTAGAAAGGACTAAAGCACCTCTCCAATTTGATTTACTAAAACAAAGACTGATTTGTTGTGTGTGTGTGTGTGTGTGTGTGTGTGTGTGTGTGTGTGTGTGTCTTTGGTTTCAAAATATTTAGGGTTTCCTAAAAGGATCTGTTTACTTAAAAAGACTCCAAAATAGGGGATATAACAGAGGGAAAATGGTGGTGGAGTGAATGGAAGCTACACAGACCGTCTTCCAGGAATTACAACTAAAAATAAAGACAGGTCAGCCCTGGCCAGTTTGGCTCAGTGGTTAGAGCGTCGACCTGTGGTCCTGAGAGACCCTGGTTCGGTTCCCGCTAAGGGCGCGTACCTCGGTTGCAGTTTGTCCCCGGCCCTGGTCGGTCGTGCGGGTGGCAGCCATTCGATGTGTCCCTTTCACATCGATGTTTCTCTCTCTCTCTGTTCCTCTCTCTCCCTCCCACTCTACCTGAACAAAAAAATGGGAAAATGTCCTCGTGTGAGGATAAAAAAATAAATAAATAAATAAAGACAGGTCATTGGGAAAAACCAACTGAAGAGCAGATGGAGAGAACCCTAATAACCAGGGACATAAAGAGGACCCCAGATTGAGATTG